GTAACAGGATAGCTCACACATGAGCATCCTTCCTCCAACAAATAGTGGAGGTTTCTACAGAAGCACCCTACCACTTGTTTTAGGTATCATTCTGAAAGATCTGGATGTCAACCCCCTCTCCGGAGGTTATTAACTGTCTGAGTGAATAATAGGCGACCCGCACAAGAGCCCCTTACTATCACTTGATAATGTCCACTTCAAGAGTGCATTAGGATAATCCGAACAAGGGTATTCTGTTGCCCTTTTGAAGCTGACCGATCTGAGACCAGGTTAGTTAGGACAGAAGACGAGTGTTTAGGGTATTCCTACAAGAGTACCCTTCCCCTTTGTAAGTTAGTATCAGAATCAAGTAGGTAATAGACAGACCCCAACAGAGGCCCCTCTACTACTTTCCTTGCGTAATGAGTAGTCCAGCCGTTAAACAAGTAAATAGGATGACTCCTACAGAAGTCTCCCTATTACCGGTCTGGTGGTCGGATTGCCCGAGGATGAACAAGATAGGAAAGAAAGAGTAGCAATGTGATTTCCTACTCTTTGCAGGTTGTTAGCCAGCCTTAGACTCAAGCGTGTGAATTGGATGACCCTCCCTGGAGCCCCCTACTACACCTTGAATAAGTGCAAAGACCGAATCTTCCTGAACCATAAATAAAAAAGGAAGTTAGTACAAAAATCCCCTGAGTTCACTTTTCACAACAAGCAGATCCTAGTTAATCAACTTGAAAGTGGTGAGGTAGCACACACAGGAGTACCGCCACCTTCTGATTATGCCAATCGTCCCGGCCTCAAAGAGCAAGTGTCCAACCTATACATGGGTTTTCTACCGCCTTCGGAGACTGGTCCGGTAGGCTAACAGGGCGACCTGCACAAGAGCCTCCCTTTATTATTTCTAAATGTTAGACACCTCTTCGCTTCACGACGACAGTCGATCCGGTAAATGATAAGGTAACTCACACATGAGTACCTATGTTACGTCGTAAGTTAATGTTAGACACCTCTGCTCGTCACAATGACAGTTGATCCGGCAGATGGTAAGGTAACTCACACATGAGTTCCTAAGTTAGTTCATAAGTCAATGTTAGACACCTCTGTCCGTGGTACCCAATTTAGTTCATAAGTTATTGTCATATACCTCTTTCTCGTCACAACGACAATCGATCAGGTAGAGAGTACCTAATTTAGTTCATAAGTTATCGTCGGATACCTCTTTCCCGTCACGACGACAGTCGATCAGGTAGAGAGTACCTAATTTAGT